GAGTTTGCGTAAGCGGTAAACTTGTATATTTGGTATCCGTCTTCCGTGTCAATAATCTCGAGATAGCAACACCTTTTGGACATTTTTTTTCGTTGTACCTTTCATCTGGGACAGAAACGATATACACAATAGCTGAAAAACTTGTAATCGTATTTGATAAATAATATTAATTAGTAGTGATGGTTGACTGCGAACGACAATGTTAATCTTCGTATTTATAATTTTTGCCTTTTTTACATCGTTAATTTTTAAATAATGTTAGATAATATAAAATGTATTTGTCATATTTCAGCAGTGGAAACCTTTTTTTCCGAGTACAGTTGATTATCAGACTTTGGACAAACGCGATTGTTCCATTGCCGATGCGATGTGGACGAGTAGAATCGAAGTCTGTATTGGCCCGCGTAAACATAACGCCTCATTTTATTGATGGTAACTGCAATGGAAAGTATGGCTGATAGCCACTTGCGGTTTTAGGAGTAGATTTACCACGGTAAAATATTAAGATTTTGACGGCTAGTGTTGAATGACCAATCAATATCTGATGATTTTTCCTTGAAAGATGGTTCGGGTAAGTGTGGATGTTAGCGTAAGTATTGATTGATCGTCACACAATGACTGATTGTGTGATAGGTAGCGCATGGATTTCATTAATGTTTTTCTATTTGAAAGACGGTATAAGTTCGATATTAGCGTTATTTTTGCGATAATTGATTTGTTTATTGCATGTCGAACTATTCAATGTTATTGATTGGTCGTCACACAATGGCTGATTAGCCATGTGTTTCATTAATGTTTTCTATTGAAAGACGGTTAAAGAATTGATTCGTTATCTATTCAATGGTATTGATTGATCGTCTGATTATGTGATGTTTTTTCTTTATTTTTTCTTACTTCTCCCACACACATACCCCTTTCTCTCATTCATTTATTTGGCGTGCTTGTTTTCCTCATCCGTTGGGTAGCCATGCGTTTTATTAATGTTTTTTATTTGAAACACGGTTAAGGATAAGCGTCGATATTAGCGTTATTTTTACGATAACTGATTTGTTGTTTGCTTGTCGAATTATTCAATGTTTGTGATTGATCGTCATAGCCACATGTGGCGGTAAACTTTTTTTGATTAGTCATCCAACACTAGCCGTTGAAATCAATATCTGATGATTTTTACTTGAAAGACAGTTAAAGATAAGCGTCGATATTAGCGCTATTTTTACGATAACTGATTTGTTGTTTGCTTGTCGAACTATTCATGTTTGTATTGATTGATCGTCAGCCGCATGTGGCTTAGAAATAAATTTATTGCGGTTGATTTTAACGGTGTTGAGTGACTAATCATTAATGGTTTTTATTTGAAAGACGGTTAAGGATAAGCGTCGATGTTAGCGATAACTGATTTGTTATGTGCTTGTCGAACTATTCAATGTTAGCATTGGTTGATCGTCACACTTATATGGCTGGTAGCCACATGGTCTTTAGAAGTAGATTACTGCGGGAAAGTTTCAGACTGATGTCAACATTTGATTTGTCATTGATGATTTACTTGAAAGACAGTTGCGGATAAAGTCGCAATATTAATATTAGCGTTATTTCGCGATAAGCGATTTGTTACTTGCTTGTCAAACTCTTTAATGTTAGCATTAACTGATTGTCTTAATTCCTGTTTTCTAGTAAACGTCTTTCAGTTATGACTGCTTTCTACACACTAACAATTAAGGGAGTAAATTCATTGTGTTGATTGTACGGAACAAAATGAATAAATTGTTTGAACAGATTAAACAGAAAACTGCGTGACGGTGTAACACGAAAATTTTTTGTGACTCCCACAATTTTTTTACGGAAGCCTATATAAACAACCTCCCTCCCTTATTCAATTTATCATTGAAATTGAATTGAATTGAATTTAAATCTAAATTTATGTAAAAACAAACGCTTATTCGCTGCATGATGCCAACTAAATTTATCCACACGCCTTGGATGTTACCAATGAAATAGTGAAATTGAAATCAGGTGATTGTCGAATAGGGGGGTTGACCTTTTATTTGTGTTAATTGTGTTAAATAAGTGTAACGACATACAAAACTCATGGCGTAAGATAGATGCACTGTGTTAAGATTTACATACTGGATATCTGAAAGTTGTACCGCATGCGTTACGTTACACACAAACGCTCTGTGTAAAATTCCATTTATGGGGTGGGGGAAACAGATGAAAAACAAAATGATTTAATTACACAAAATCAAAAACTAAAAACTGAACTTAATAACTCCTTAGAAGGTTCGAAAATAAGTGAAGAGTATCACGAATGAAGCTGTCATTATGACATCCGATCCACTTTCGCTACGAACATGCATGTAACTCACGAGAGGGAGATGGGGAACGAGGGGCTGTCTTCGTTTGATAAAAATAGTTTGCATGAACTAAATTTGACTTTTTTTGTACTACCTAACATCATGTAATACACAATCGTTATTATATAGACCGAGTTTCTATTCCAAAAAAAAAGTACTCGATTTTTCTCATTTCCTTGCTCAAAACAAGAAAATTCGCTCCATTTCAACGACATGTCCCAATATCCAGGTCCAGAAAATCCGTCGCAACTGCCACAACAAAGTGGCTATGTACCACAAACTGGGATGAGCATACTTCATGAAGCCCAACCACAAGCTGTCGCAAGAAGTGGTCAAAGAAATTGGAAAGCAGGTTTATTCGACTGCTTTTCTGTCCCCGGACTCTGTTTCAAAACCTTCTTTTGCCCTTGTATCACATACGTAAGTCTGGTGTAGTACGGAATTGTCCAACTCTTTTTCTCTAATACAATTCATTACAGGGCGAAACAAAAGAGAAAATGAACAGCGGAAGTTTCGGTTTCAATTGCAGTTGCTTCCTTTATTCTATGTGTGTATGCTTTTCATGTTGTCTTGGTACTATGGCACGTCGTGAAGTTCGTGGACAAAAAGGAATCGACGTATGGCTGTTTTTATTTTCTTTCGTGTGCATGTCTTTTTCGATCTGCTTGTTAATAATTCCTGTTGCGTTTCCTTAGGGCGGTTGTCTAGAAGACTCTTGGACTTATCTGTGGTGTGCATGTTGTGCTTTGATCCAGGAACGCCGTGAATACGATGATTGATGAGACTTCGTAATAGCATATTTACTTTTATTATACGTAATCTTTAAAAACGGAGGCATTGATTCAATAGAAATACTGATCAATATTGTATCTTACGAAATAGTCAAATACAAGGTTAGGCGATGTGTTGATATCGAAATACATATAATAAATATATACATACAATGCAAGTATACTGTCATATGACCAATGTCTTCTATGTATATAAATATTGTGACGTTGGTTATCGTGTACATTAAAAACTTTATAACCTTAGCAACGTTTCGTGTTACAACGTCTCATTAATTTAAATTTGATTGTAAACACGAGCCAGTATTCTTATCGATATTAGTACAATCGGATAAATACGTGCTAGAAGTCAAACCTACAACTTTAAAAGACAAAAATCATTATGTATGCAGCAGGACTGATGATTTGCAACTTGGTAGCATGTCTATGAAATAAAAATCTTCTACAGTGAATGCATAGCAATCAATGGATTAAATCACAAAAATTGCTATTCATGTGTGTGGCAAGCGACAAACCCAAAATAGTCTCACTAATACTAATAGCGAAAACCTGTTCACTTTTCTAGTTGGTAATGGTAGGCATTTATTTCATCAACAGTACAGTTCGTCGACAGTCATTTCGCCGATAGTACACTTTATCGACAATCCATTTTACCGACAAAGCTTTAATGCTGCTAATTTTGTATCATGGAAAAGGAACATCGTTTCTAGTCACTAAACAGGACAGGAATACGCGATCGTGTTCAATGTTCGATTTATACAGTAATTCTGGTACAAATTGGATATCTGCTGTTTATTATTCCGTACGTGTGACTAATAAATACCATAAATTCCTATTTATTTGTCTAAATTACATAGACAACTATATAATCCGCATTATCTTTACAATTCCTATTATAATTATAGTGATTAAAGCAAAAATTAGCAGCATTAAATTTACTGTCGGTGAAATGTACTGTTGGCGAAATAACTGTCGACAACTGTACTGTCGATGAAATGAACCGGACCCATCAAATGGCATCCTTTATATATCTGATATTCACGTTTGCTAAAGAAGTATTAAATTATTTATCAAATGTTTCTTTTATACAATAAAGATAAATATAGGTAGTTTCTCTTATACTGGTATTGTATCGAGAAAATTATATTAATATTGGCCATATACTGTATATGCACTGTTGCTCTCGGTGCAGCTATATATTGTTGTTGTCTTTGTTGTTGTTCGGTTTATTAAAGTGGCGTTGTATGCTTTGTTACAAGAGTTTGTCCTAAGATTCTATTATAAATTTAATTGCTCAGAAACTTTCCGAGTCGTGCAAGACTAAAATTTTGCTGTAATAGCTTTCTCGCACGAAATATTCTTGACGTTAGAACTAATAAAACATAACAAGCATCTACAGTCGACTTCCCATACAGTCACTCCCATACAGTCACATTTGCTTACAGTCACACATTTGTTCATTCCCGAATTTTTTCATAGTGATTTTCCTCCCATAGAGTCACATTCATAGTGTTAGTCACAATCACACAATTTTGGATTCCCATCATAATAAGAACAATAGGAAATCCCCCATACAGTCACATCGATTTGTGTTACATCCTAGAAGGTAACGCTAGCGCCTTATAACTCCTGCATTAGATCATTTTGGCGTAGCAAGGTAACAGTTAACACCGCCCACAACGCCTTTTGAACTTTGTTACATATATTAATGTAATGGGGTAAACGCCGTCGAAGGGCCATGATTTTTTATATAAAGAGCGAAGCAATGATAAACATCGCATAACTTTTTCCAATGTCCGTACAGCGTCAACCGAAGAAAAGAACGCATATTAAATAAATATTCAATAGTATACTAAATATTCGAAAAAATTTTATATTATGTTTATAGATCACATGACTACAGTCGACCTCCCATACAGTCACCCCTCCTTATAGTCACTGGTTTTGGTCATTCCCGAGGGTGTGACTGTATGGGAGATCGACTGTATTATGCATGTTTGAAGTATTTTTTTCTTCTGTATACAAAAATTGGGTGCATTTCGTATAAATATTTAGTCACTTGTTAATTGCCTATAAAGCCTATAATTTCGATAGATGGCAAGAAAGTAGATTTTGGAATATTGCGCTTTTGACAAATTTTATTGTTGCAAAAAATGAAAAAAATTAATTCGGTTGGCAGAATTAGTTTTTCAATCCCGTTTTTTTAGTTCTTTAATTACTTCAGGAGCAACAAATACTCAACTTTCTTTGCTCGTCTTTTCTCTCAGTAAATACAAATTTCTTTCCGTAGCATTGTTATGAATAAGTCGTTACCATAAGATTGCAGCGTAAATCTTCGATGTTAACAACTACAATTAATGTTAACGTTACGGTGACATTAGAACAGGTACGGTATTGTGACGCTGACGAAACGGTAATGTCTAAGTTTATGAATGAATTATTTGTCGCGACAGCATTGATGAAATGTAACGTGGCAGAACACTGCGCTACGTGTTAATTATACGTTACCATTTCGTTAACTTATTGAAATCAACGTTACATCAACGAGGTAAAACTACGGTAACAAAACAGTAACGGAGCAGTATGAGATAACTTTATGATACCGTCTAGTTGCCGCAAAGATAACGCAAACGTAACGTCAAAAAATTAAACGTTCAGCTAAGATTGTGATATTAACTAATAAATAAATATTTATTTGTTAACCATACCCATATTTCAAGCACCTCCAACTCAGCATTTCCTCATTCTCCATTCTCTCTTTAATATCTATATGGTTCTTGAAATTAAAGTGTTGAATATCTCAAAGCTCATAAACGCTTGCACTAACCGTTGTTGTGCCAACTACTGCGGAAGAGCAGAAATAATCACTTGCCTTCTCACGGAGTGTGGGTTAACACGAGAATTTTACTACTTACAACTCACTGCGTCGAAGAATAGGCACTAATCATAGATAATTAATTGTGCTGAGTTTTCTCACGGTTCCCTATCGTTGGATTAATTCGATAGTCTCCTGATTGGGGTACAATGGTGTTGTAATAATGCGCATCGATAATATAAACAATTAATTATTGTACTTTGCCCCAGGAATAATCGCGGGACAAGAGGCATTTATTCCTAATTGATACAGGAATTAGTGGTTCACAAATACCGATAATCTATCAGGGAATGAACCATTATCAATGTATTTCAGAGTATAAAGAACTACTCGTTTATTAAAAATATTTACAATAAAGGAATCAAAAGAATTAAAATATGAATACTCGAACACTATGAAACGCACGGACACTGAATCTGCATTTGAAGGAGTTCAGCAGGAATCAAAGTAGTGCACTATTTGTTCTTCTGCTTGGCCTTCCTCTTGTTGGGCTACAAGGTTTCAATAAATCTTTATACATGTTGCGACTGCATGCTAATGTAAAGAGGAGAGGGGGGAAGAAGTTAATACTCGTTACTTGCCAATATTATTAATGTACAAAGATGGCCCACAACCCTTTAACGCCAGAAGACACATCAGTCACACAACACAAACAACATGCTACAGAATAGGGTTTCATCCTGAATGCTTTGCAAGCTTCTTATACATCAAGCAGGTTAAAGTTGAAAAAAACAAGTGATTCTATAATCAACTTCCTATCAAAGCAAAGTTTGCCCATTGAATGAAGTCGATTTCAACATAGAGCCAAGCGTTACTGCACAGACATTCCCATCGTAGAATAAGAATGTCTGGTACTGAACAGTTTGGTCATGAACAGTACAGCAACAACATAACACACACATTGCAACTAAAAAGTAAGGTGTGATACGTATCACAGGATCTAGCCGATCAGAGGGAAGGATCTGCGATGTGGTACAACTGCGGGTGTCGCGACTAGTATACTATGTCGCGACAACAGCAGTACAGATGACATGTTTTCTGTATCAATCACCTTTCTCATATTATGCAAACTGCTATTATTTGCTTAAGTAATTCTCACCTGTACCTTCTCATAATTCTAACAAACCAATAAGAATGACAAACAAGTGAGTCTGTGTCAAGTAACAAGTATTTAAAGTTATTCCTTTTTTATGTAAATTACAAACAATACTTTTATTTACTGTACATCAGACGACATCAGAACAATAGCAAAGATAATTAGTCGGTGCCGCTAAAAATAGATTACTTAGTGAGATCGAAAGATACAAGATTCGGTGTGTTTTGCTTCCTTGTTCAATATCATTATATTATTATCTTGTTAATAAACAAGTATCGCATTTACTCCAAATACACATATTATTGCTTAGTTCCCTGAATAGATCGGTATAGCCTAAATTATATCGACAAAGGATAATTACCTCTTGTCCCGCAATTATCTGAGTGGCATTCTTACGATAATTCAATTGTTTTAGAAAACGCGTTTGTATTATTTAGTTTGAGACCCCACACGGACAGATAACTGACGTAATCCCACAGTCGATAGTCGTGCATTCAACTCGAGGACAATTACGTTATCTAAAATCAGCGTGCACTTAACGACGCTAAGGTTATTGTAAGTGAAAGCCTTGAGATTACAAGGTCACTAACTGTAAAGTAGATTTATTATTTATAGGAGAGGCCGCGCTCCGCCGACGATAGCTAAATCCCAAGTGTCGATTACTAATCGCTCTCCCGCAGTAGTCAGCACGATAAAGGCAAGTATGGAAGGTTATCACTAAATAGATCGATCTAATGTCAGTGTTTATTCTCACTGTACATACCAGTGCGAGGAACAACAAAAGCGTTCAGGTTCTAGGCAAGCGCTGTTGTGCAGTATATAATCTGATTGGATAATCATGAGGTTACTCCATTCCATTCTTGTGTGGGAGCAAGAATGATGACGCACGCATATCTAATCTTCTGTTGCATCATAGTGCTAATTTACTAACTTGTGAAATAATCAAGTAGGCCTGAATTTTGATTCAGAATATCCAACACCTATTTTTTTTGTATTTCTTCGCGTTTAATTAATACTGACCCAATTAGGGTCGATTGTAGAACGCTGCTACAAGTCACTTCAAACAATGCTCCAGAGATTTTCTACAGAATTTAAATCAGGCATACTATACCTGTCGAACTATTATCGTTACGTACGTATATGCCATACATGCAATATGCGTCTTAGAGATACATCGATCGATCACATGATACGTAAAAAAGCGTTGTTATTCCGCAAATTTCCATAGATCACAACCTGCCCGTGACCGCTAATCAATAAATATCGATAAATTAATCTAGAAAGTTTCACCTTTTAACCAATAAAAAGCCGTAGACATCGGCACGATAACATTTTGTTATCTTATCAAAGCAATATATCTATCATTTGGACAATAAACAAACATTATATTGTTGGCAAAAATTTATTTGACAAAAGCGCGCTGTTTCACAACCCAACCCCTGAGTCTCTATAATTTAAAAGGAGCAAAGGTTGCCGTAAATTTTGTTGTTGGTTATAAGAAAGCGATCTTTGAGCTTCTTGGTCGCACATATTAGATCTATAATCTAAAAAGAAGTCAAAACTATGCGGAACGATTCTTAGTTCCGATTCGATTTCACTAAAGACGATATCATAAGAGTTTTCAAATCAATTACTAACATTAGAAGGCGATAAAAGTTTGTACCTTATTTCAATTAGAGGTGCTAAATAAAATCGACTTACTTGCGTATTAATCTTCTTTAAACCCCACAAAAAACAGTAGGATTCCTAAATTGGCACGAACTTACGCATGACACGGTTGATTACTTTGAGATAACATACTAGACACATTTATGGATAATGCAAACCTTGGAAAGCCCGCTTTTGCTTAAGGTATTACGTAATCGGTTTGATAACGACCAAATCGATTCTTTAATGTTCCAAGTAAGTATGAGAGCAATCTATATGTATATACAAAGAGAGTTTTGATAATAACTGACTAAATAATATTTTTGATTAAAATAATAGTGAAGCCAAACAAGGAGATAACAGAAAACACCTTTTTTAAGCAATTACCGTACCGTATGGTTCCGAAAATAAAGCACCCCGAAAACATTGCTTCCGGAAATAAGCACCTACCCCACAATCCTTATACCTAAGAAATTATTGCAGAAGGAAAATGGTTTGACTTTCTGTTTTGTTTTATATTAGTCATGGAAGCCATGCAGAATCAATCATGCCAGGATAAGCAAACTCATTAGCTACCAGAGGACGTCAAGCAGTACCAGCTCTGTGGCAACTGCGGTCAGGATCACAGGGGCAAAAAATGCAATGTCACTCTAAAAATAGAATATCAGATATCAAAGCCTCAGGCGGGAATGACATCAGCACTGCGTCTCGCGAAAACTGGCGAGGATTTCAGAATGCTAATTGAGCTAAGCCTCTCACATGAGAAGGACACCAATGCGCATATACGATCATACCTATAAATAGCAGGATATTAGATTGGGCTAAGGAAGAGCGGATTAATTCTTATATAATAATATTACCAAACATTGGGGTTAAAATAATAATGCTTTTCGATAGAATTCGTTAAAACACAACAATGAAGGAATAGTAATAATAACCATAACATTAACGTATTATCATAACTAACAGTAGACTCAAACATGTACTCTGGACGATGTAAAAAAAGCAACTTTAGAAGCTGCGTCTCATAAAGGACAAAATCAGTAGAACATTCAATAGTAATAAAAATAGAATACTAATAGTAAATTAATAAAATAAAACAAATGTAAACCACTTGATTGTTGAAAATGTACTTCAATTCTGAACACAGTTCTCGTAATAGTAACAAACAGTGAAAAGCACCGGATCTCCGCAGTTAAGCCACTGGTGGCCTGGTCAGTACTACGTTTGGCAATGCGTAATCCGAGATGGTTAAAAAACAAGAAGTGGAGAGCTTGCTTGCGTCATCGAATGGGGTTTGTTGGTGCACGCGAACGTATCTTTGAAAAGACTTTGGAGAACGCAATAAAAGGCGGGTTTGTTTATAGCCTAATCGTTTTTTTAAGGACAGTTTGATATTTTGTTCCTAACATTCTTAACGTTTTCGACAAAACAATGGTCAATAGACTTAAAAATAGAAATGCATAGTAATAGGTTTGTATCATATATAGTAACAAGATCGCAGATTACTATAAGATATGGCAAATTGGGACGCCAAAGTATTGAGAATAGGGATAATATCAGCATTGATGTAAGGACAATAGAGGAAATCTGTATACGAAGGGAGGAAGATATGATACAAGTCTAGTACTTAGGACATATCGTCGTTTAACGATTACAACGACAGTTGCGTTCTATAAAATGCGGACGATGACTTTAGTCTGATTTCTGTCTCTTCAATATTACATTAGTCACCTGGGCTATTAAAAACAATACTGCCCATAATTGGACAGGCAGGCATCATATGATCGAAAATCTACGGACGAATAACAAAAGACTTGTTCTTTGCTAGCGACAAAAGCTAAGAATTGCCGGATGCTTCCAGCCGGACAGCGCCTGGGGCCTTCAAGTCCACTCTTTCGCGAGGTTGTATTTGGTGTGTTGCTAGTTTGTTGATAACCTCGTCACTTGTATATATTGAAGATTTGCAGTAAATGGAGCATTTATATATATAATACACCTGAATATTAGAATGACAAAAGTTCTAATCCATGACTATTAATATATCAGAGTTTAGAAGCAGCACCGGAATATACGGCTTGTCCTTCAGCGTTTCGATCAAAATTTGAGCTTACAACGCTCGGAAGTTTACTAAAAACCAAAGAAAAATATCTCTGCGGAGACATATTAGACGATCGTTATTTTCTCCTCGGAACGTCCAACGGCTTAGAATTCATCGACCTTTTCCTTCCCCATGACCAACAAAAGCCGCATGTGCTTATTGATTTTGTTCGATTTAAACAGATCAAAGTATTGCAGACGGACAGATATAGTGAGTGAGGCAATTCGATTACTAAATGCATGTTTTATAACGGGGTAGTGGCGCTCATATTTTGGCTTTTTTAAAAGGCACCTTGTTAGCTCTATGCGGACGGAATTTACACTTGCGCAGTTATCCGCTTAATTCAATAAAGACTTTAATACGGAATTTGACTACTCCATCATCACCAACAACGAAACCCGAAGTTCATCCGACGCACTCGAGTTTGCCACGGTCTCCATTATATACTCATCTTCGAGCTAGATCTTTGGATGCTATTTTTCACTCGGGTTTTGCAGTTCCCAACCGGCCGGTACAATTAAATCAGTCGATGACTTCAATACAAAATGTTATTAGTACGGTTAATGCTAATGAAGGTACGTGTACAATGTTTCGGCATCGTTTACGCTAACACACAATTGAACTCTTTTCATCATGCTTTAATTGTATAGCGTCATTTGAGGACATAAATACCAACTGTAATGGGACCTCAGCCATGCCTGCGATGACGACGATGGCAGCCTCAACGTCGTCAACTTCACCTCTAGAACGCAGGTCTTCAATATCACAAACCCTCCCGAACGGTCGAACTCGTCATGCTAGACACTTGAGCCACGACCCACAAACTCTACGTATAACGCGAGAGCAAATCCATGAATTTAACCATCCCACGAAACTGACAAAACTGGCTCTGAATTACACCAAAATTCCAAATACCAGGATGACTGTGTCGTTCATAGTAGGAGCTGGTGATATAAAATCGTACATTGGTACACTTTCTAAACAAAAGATATTTCTATTCGAAGTTTGTCCTGGTAACGACGCAGGCCCGTCTTTTGTCCATCTGGGTACGTATTGGCTTCCATCTACACCTAGATTTGTCGAACTTTCTATGAACGGCGATCACTTGCTGGATATAATTGTGGTATTCCAAGCGGATATTGTCTTGATTGGTGTCGAGGACGCCCGTGTACGCGAGGTCGCGATCGATAAATCCCTCAAACCATCTCCAATAGACTTTTCAGTCTTTGTAGATAGGCAGAAAATGATGTGGAATACCTTCACTCCGCTTGCCTTCCCGCCGGTGATCAGTCCAGAGTATGTAGCCGAAAGCTTTACAATACCACCGCCGTACAATGCGATAGTTAATCAAGATCAGTCGATATTACTGAACCCGGTTCCAGTGTTTGAAGCTAGAACAGCCGACGGATTTGATACGAGTGAGGGTCCGTGCTTGTTTTTTGCGACATTTGGATCAAAATCAATGATAGTCAATTCGAAAGGCAGACCGTTTTCAACTATTGTATTTGAGTGGTCTTCTCCACCACTACACGTTGAATTTCTTCGTTCGGCAGAGGATTCTGGATATTCTTTTGTTATTGGATTCGGAAAGGAAATGGTTGAAGTAAGGTCGTTTGCTACCGGGAAAATAGTCGAAAGTGTTGTTAAAGGGGTTGGTGTACAATATCTAGGAAGAGGAAGAAACAAGGATGCAGAGGTGATATGGGGATGTGCGTTTAACAAGGGAATTAAAGGAGTCGGACTTTATCATTTGAGTGCACCTCATTGAGTACCTATGTCTTTTTTGTAACATTATTTTATTGTATTTGTGTAATTGTTGTATTTTTGAACTGTATTTTTGGTACTATATTTTAGAATTTTCAGTAGTTATTTATTGGGTTTGATTATGTATTATATATATATAAACATACAGCGGAAAGCTATTAGATATCAAGGAATATATAGTTCGATGATATTTACTCGCGAGAAACCATATCATCCTAACCTACCATACTTTTTTTCCTTCCCCGCAATCGAACTGTATTAAAGAGATGTTTTGTTAATGGAATGTTCTACTTATGCAACATCAATTCAGTTATTTACCTTCATCCAACTTGCGTAAGACAGACTTTGCGTTATTGTACGATTCCCCATATACTTTCAGTATGGTCAAAAACTTTTGTACAAAAAGAATTTTCCTTCAGTCAAACATTCTTAGATGCTCTCACACTATCGTTGGAAGAGCAGCTTACCAGATGATGAGCATGTGGATGCGTGCTCAAGAACGTCTTTTCCAACACGTATAGATCTACTGCCTTGTCTTCGACTGAACAAGAGGTTATAAAGCTCAGTCCGAAATCAATTATTGCCTTTGCGATATGTGTGAATCGCCAGACTAATGTTAATGGAAAACCAAAATAACAGAAGGGGTGCCAAACGAAGAATAGTTCATGTACCAGAGATTTGTTCACATCCCGTATCATTAGATTCGAAGTCGTCAAGTCTCCGTGAATCATTTCCGCTGCATGCATTTTAGCCAGTGCTTCGCCTATCTTCTTAGCGAGCTCATCTTTTCAACATTCACAATTAGAGCTTTTAGTAAATCTACAAAATACTTTGCACTTTGTTTTCCTCACCAGATTCTTCTGTAGTGATTGCTGCACCATCAGCTAATAGATCATTAACAGTTTTCCCTTCAATGTACTCCATGTAAATAGTTCTATTCTCCAAATCGACAAAGTACACGGCAGGAACATCTACGCCAATATTTCGGCATTTGACTAGACAACGTGCTTCCTTTTCTCAGCAAAAGATATTTGATTATTTTTTTCAATTGAAAAAGAATATAAACCACATGTTATTAATGCATACTTGAACCAGCCGTCTGTCAGTGAGTTTCTTATCAAGTAAGGGGTGGCGATATGTCTTCCTGAAACGTTCTTTGGCGATTGCTGCACGGGTTAAGAAAGGTGTCGTATAGACACGCTACAGATACAATTTGAACAGGTAGCAGGCGTGATAATCCCGCTTTACTAAAATTCCATATTATCATGTTTGCTAATGAAAGTAATTTGAGAAAGTACCGCTTCTGCGCCTTGCTTGATTAAATTCTTTGACATTGATCTGAGACAGATTCAGTTCGATTATCTGCGAAATCAATTAAATATTATGTACAGCTAGTAAAGTCTTTTTTATCGACTTCTGTGTGTTAACGAGCGTTGGGACAACGAATTACTCGCAATGTATATTTCCCTAAATAGACATATTGTATTAAACAATTGGTCAACTGCGGTAGTTTATTGTTCTTACCATATTTGGAATATAAAATTTTCAATTACCAAAATAGTCAGGGGCAATGGACTTAGTGAAGTGGTGATACCATATATGATAAATCATATTTCATATAGCCACTTTGGGACTACTTGTGCGATCAATATGATATACAGTCTCTACTATTTGCAATAAAATTTACGTTGCTACTACATAGGCAAACTCGATAAGTCGGACGCTCGATAAGTCGGATTTGGCTTAACTCGGACAAAAATTTTCGGCCCCTT